AAGGATTACCCAAGTGATCGCGCGTGTCGGTCAACTCCAAGTGATCGCGCGCGTTAGTCGGTTCCAAGTGACCGCTGCGCACGTCAGTCAGCTCGTACACGTCGGTCAACACGTGCACATCAATCAACACGCGCATGTTAGTCAGCTCGCACACGTCAGTCAACACGCGTGACAGTCAAGACCCGCGCTAGCGCGGGTCAGACTCGACTGACCCGCACCTCTGCGGGTCAGCACGATCTGTTTCACGCAGATTTGATCCCCAAACGTGTTTTCAACGGTTTTAAACGGTTTTCTCAGGATTTATCTATTCCAGGGGTTCTCAACTGACTTGATATCATCCACAAATATGGTTAGACAGTTATTGACTAAAGATAAGGCCAAATCGCTCATTCTCATCCAAATATCCCCCAACCGAAGCTTATAAATACAGGCCTAGGGGCTCATTTCACGGGGCGAAGATCAAGAGGGCAAAATGTTGCCGAATTAGAGAGTGGAGCCACGAATTTACAGCGAGGGTTAGCAGATCTTAGCGAATTCTTGTGCATAAAGAGTGGAGTTCGAGAAATCTGAGACTCGTCCCATATTCCTCCAGATTTAAACTTAGTATTAATCTCGAGAAGAACCGTATTCTCGCTTGGTCAGGATTATCGCTGCAGCGATTACTTCCTTCGTGAAGTAAGTGCTTTAATTAACTTAATCTGTCAACCGGATCTGATCCGCGACGGTCCACGGATATTAACGTCCCCGGCACAGACGAAGTTCCCACGCAAGCATCGGGTGATAAACGTCTGTTGTGCTGTTTGATAAGAGTTGTACTATTTTACATTTTCATTGTATAAGTCTATCTTATAAAAAGATCTAATTTTCTCATTTATTTGAGTTTATTGTAACGACCAAAATTGTAATATATTCGATGACAATGAAAACAGTAACTTTTGACCCAAACATAGATCGCAACAGAAGATGTATTTGTCTATACTTATTTTATGACACATAAAAGTGTTATTTTATTTACAAAGAATTAAACAGTAGTAACACAAATAAAATAGTGTGACAAATCATGATACATATTTGTGGTATTAGATATACAATTAAATATAATTAAAAAGACTAATAGTCCAATATGGATTGTGAGGATCTATTTATAGGATTAAATAATAAATTTTAGATTTTAATTATAATGCTAATTAAATGTATAAGTTAAACAACTCTATAGTTAAGTATGCTTTGGTGAGAGTAATTCTAGGATATATGACCTTATGAGTAGTTATAGTACTGAATGGTGATATTTTTTATATTTTTATGATCTAGACACAACTATGTGTCACCGTTCTTGACACATGTATCTGTCGTGAATTTTGTAACACATGTATATGTCACCACTATCGCATGCTCTACCGATACTTTTGGTATGTGCCGAGCTCTATTTAAACATTACAAAAATATATCATGCGAAAATAAAAAATATATCATAATTTATAACTTTTGTTGTTAATAGTGAGACTTCCGGCCCATAAAATTTAATAGTTATTACCCCCATCTATTCACCCAATTGTTTTTTCAAACAGTTATTATTCTGTAGTGAATTTTGGGAGTTAGTGTGACTCATAGTACCAGGGGCGTCGTTGGAAATTTGAACTTGTTCACCGTCCGTCTTCTCTTCCTTCTAATTAAGTACATCAGTTTGGGGGATTACCTATTAGCTCAATACGGCTTAGTACGTACAAGGACTACTTTTTTTTATCAGACCCGAGACAGGATGCACAATAGTGCTTGCGCCCTTATTTTCTGCACAAAAATAGGACCTATTGCTTGTTAGCCACCCCTCTTCGATAGGCTTTGACAAAGCTAGGCGTCCCTTCAAATGAACAAACAACAAAGTTTAGAGCAGCACATGGGTGGGAACAGAGAGAGAGAGAGAGAGAAGAGAGAGAGAGGGCAGCAACTGCTCCTGCAAAGCCAAGAAGAAGTCACAAGCCCAACAATCACAACGCACCAAACATCATCAATCTGGTACTGTCCAGTACCACCGCTGCCCTCAACCAAAATATTCAAATTCTGCATTATAAACAAACCGAAAAGCAAAGAAAAACCTCCAACCGAAAACTGCCCTTTCTAGCTTAACAAAAGATTAAAAAAAGTTGGGGCAGGTAAAGTTTGTCTGCTTCACTTTAAAAAACTGTGGGTTGCCTATGTGGCAACTTTAATTAATTGAGGATCTGTAATTTTGGAGACTGTGTTCAAACACCCCTATTCCTAGCGTAGACAAGAGAAAAGTTTGTGCGGAGTGCTGAGTACGCTCAGTTGAACTGTAGACAAATATATTTAGAGATACGAGAAAGATTTTAAAAAAAAAGTTTTTAAACTATAAAAATCCAAACCCAGACGTTGATGGTCCCGAAAGCCCAGTTTTCATGTGGCGGTTGCTCCGCCTTCCTTGACCAGAATAAATGTTTGCTCTCCGCTGTCAAGATAATTACAAAGCTCCGCACAACTGAAAAAAGTAGGTTTTTCAATAACTATTTTTGCAGAGTAGACGGTGGTAGATACTAGGGGCTACGCATTAGCCTGAAATTGATATGTGATCTCACAGAACTACAAAAGTTGTTCTTGAAGATAAAATGAGGAAAATGATAGTTTATATGGTAAGGTGAGGCTCAAAAGTTTTGAAGATAAATTTAATCGTTGAGGGGTTGAAATGAGACTGTAAATAGTTTGCATATTATGCAGGTGCAAATTAAATCTAAAGTAAACACCAAAAAATAATTATGAAATACCAGAGACTTTACAAGAAAATCACTCCAAAGTACTCTCATTGAGAAAACTAAAAAGAACTTCAAAATCCACCGAAATTTTTCCTGGCTGGCGGCATCATTAATACATTTAAAAAAAACTGAAAATGTGAGAAGTAAAAAATATATAAACTAGGCGACAGAAAAAATGTCCAAAAGGTTAAGTTTTGAGGTATTTTTAAATAAAGATTAACATATTATCTTATAAAGTTCTTAGATAGTTAATGCTAGTTTAAGTAAATGTTAACAATAGCTTTATTGAAATAAACAATAAGGCCTCGTTTGGCAAAGGGCTAAGGAAGAGGGGTTAAAGAGAATGAGTAATATACTTAGCTCATTCGATAATCCGAATGACTAAATTATTAACCCGTTAAATAAGTTTTATTTTAGCCATTGTGATCAGTTTTAATATTTAGGAATAACAATGATTTTCACTGTTTTTTTAATTAGAAGGGTTAACTTTTAATTCTTCTAAATATGAGTATTTGTATACCCTTCATTTTAAGGGGTTAACTCATTTTAATCATTCTAGAGGGGTTAACTTAACCCTTCTATATTATTTATGTTTGGCAAATTATGAAGGGTTAACTCAAATTAACCCTTGTATAGATTTTTTGTATTTGACGGGTTAAGAAGGGGTTAAGTCTCCTTAACCCCTTACTTAACCCTTTGTCAAACGGTACCTAAAAGAATCTTTTCTCATTCTTATTATTGAATGATATTGGTGATTTTTTTAAGAAAATTTGATTTGAGATTGTTTGGTTGGCTAAAAAAAGGAAATAAATTATAAGAAACATATTTTCTGTAATAGGTTCTTTTCTTATGTTTGGTTCATTCATAAAAATAAGAAAATAGATAGATGAGATGAGTTGTCATTATATTATTGGGTGATGTGACCCACACTTAAGAAAATCGATTTCCTAGCTTTTTTGGAGGAAATTGGTGAAAATAAAATGTTAATGAGATGAGATGAGTTGTCACCATATTATTAGATGATGTGAGTGATTTTAAAGATGAGATGTGATGGAGATGAAATGAGTTGGATGATGCGAATCATTTCTTGTGTTTGGTTTATTTTTAGGAGATGATATGAGATGAGTTGTGGGATGAAAATAATATTTTATTGGATGTTGTGGTGAGTTTTAGGGATGAAAATAATATTTTATTGATTTTCATGTACCCTTTTTCTTTTCTTGATTTTTAGGAATCCAACCAAATAGCCCCTTAGCCAACCAAACAACCTCAAAACAAATTTTCTTAAAAAAATCACCCACATCATCCAATAATAAAGTAACAACTCATCTCTCATTCTTTGATTTCATTCTTTTTTTAGCCAACCAAACAATCTCAAAATAATTTTTCTTATAAATAGGTTTTCTGTTCTTTGATATTTCTCTTTTTTAGGCAAACAAACAGCCCCTAAAAAAATAAGGAAATAAATTATAAGGAACCTATTTCCTGTAATATGTTCTTTTCTTGTGTTTGGTTCATTCATAAAAATAAAAAAGTAGATGAGATGAGATGAGTTGTCATTATATTATTGGGTGATGTGACCCACACTTAAGAAAATAGATTTCCTAGCTTTTTTGGAGGAGATGAGAGTGGAAATAGAATGTTAATGAGATGAGATGAGTTATCACCGTATTATTAAATGATATGAGTGATTTTTAAAGATGAGATGTGATGTAGATGTGATGAGTTGGATGGTGTAACTCCATTTTTGTGTTTGGTTTATTTTTAGTAGATGATATGAGATAAGTTATGGGATGAAGATAATATTTTATTGAATGTTGTGGTGAGTTTTAGGGATAAAAATAGATAAAAATAATACTTTATTGATTTTCATATACCATTTTTGTTTTCTTGATTTTTAGGAAACCAACCGAACAACCCCAAATATAAAACCTATAAATCTCTACTAACCAAACTGAGAAAATATCCCGGTTTGTGTGGCTCAAACAAGACCTGAACCCATGTCAGAACCGTAAATCATAAGTCCGCTCCCTTAATCCAACTCTGTAATCTCCGCTCAAACAGTGGGCCACTTCTGTCCTTAACAAAGGGCAACAGAGGGATTAAACACCCCTCATCCCCTCTCTGTCAATTTCTCTCTCTCTCCAACACCCTCACGTGATCCTGTCCTCTCTCCTTTCCCCTATAAATAACCCCCCAAATCGCCCCCTCCACCTCCTCAAGCCATAACCCGAACCTTTTCTTTTCTTTTCTTTTTATTTGAAAAAAAAAAAACTTCTTTAACTTCCAAGATTGTTCAATGGCTATTAGCAAGAAATCGAGCAAGATCGCTCAGGCTGCTGTCCTGAAGCAGATACTGAAGAGGTGCTCGAGCCTCGGTAGGAACAATGTCGGGCCCGAGCTGCCTCTTGATGTGCCTAAAGGGCACTTTGCGGTTTATGTTGGCGAGAAGAGGAGTAGATTTATCGTGCCCATTTCTTTTCTTAACCATCCTGAGTTCCAAATTCTGTTGAGGCAAGCCGAGGAGGAGTTTGGGTTCGATCATGATATGGGATTGACTATTCCTTGTGAGGAGGTCGTCTTCAGATCTCTCACCTCCATGCTCAGATGAAGTTGTTTCCTTTTTTTTTTCATTTTTTTTTATTTTTATTTTTTAAGAAAGAGGAGGCAAGGGGGAGAGAGTGATGAAGGATTAAGTGTTCCCAGCTTTGGCTGTGGTTTGTTTTTTATTTTTCCTTCAGCGTCGGTGGGTTGTTGGAGTTTTCTCCTCTTCTTGTTGGATGTTGGGTAGTGGGGATTTTGACCCAGAACCCGTTAATTGAGGGGGTACGGGTTTGTGGGTTTGGAGTTGTATATAATTTCGAGCGGCGTGCGGGTCGCAGCCGCCCTGTGAGAACTAATTTGGTTTCATCAGTGAAAGGGGGATTTGTTCTTTTTGTTCCTTCATTTCTAATGAATGTTTGTTCTCTCTGCTTCAATTTTGTGTGTTTTGAGTACTTGCTAGTTTATGAGTCCTGGTGTTGGGAGAACAATTTATTTGAGAAAATTAATTGACAGGTATTAGTGTGTGGATGAACGGGGGTTTGTGATGTTAATGGCACATTGATGACATGCAAGTTGGTCTAAAGTTTTTTTTAGCTGCATAGTTAAGCGCAACCATGCCTACTTTGATTATCAGAATGGACTAGAGCTATAAGGAATAGATTTAGAATTAGCAAGTCTTTTTTTTATTTTTTTAAAGTACGTACGGTTGAAGACCCGAGGGTCCTTGGAAAACACAGGGCCACAAAGTACTCTGTTTCGGGTACTCTGATAATCCCACTTGGCACCCACTTGGCAGTATAAGTTGTATAAGGGCCTGTTTGTTTTATAAAAAAAAAGGGAAATCAAAGAAATAGAAAACTATTAAAATGAAGAATTTGTTTGGGAGTGTTTGGTTGGCTAAAAAAAAGAAGGAAATAAAAAAAATGGAGATGAAATGATGTTAGTTGTCATATTATTATAATATTGGATGATGTGAATGATTTTTAAGAAAACTAGTTTTGATGTTGTTTGGTTGGCGAAAAAAATAAGGAAATGAATTATAAGAAACATATTTCCTGTAGTTTGTTGTTTTCTTTTGGTTTGGTTCATTCTTAAAAATAAGAAATGAAATGAGATGAGATGAGTTGTTATTGTATTATTGGGTGATGTGATCCAAGATTAAGAAAAATGTTTTTATAACTTTTTGGGATGAAAACAAAGAAATGAAATGTTAATGAGATGAAGTGAATTGTTATAATATTTTATTGGATGATGTGAGTGATTTGAAATGATAAAAAGAGATGAGTTGAGTGATGTTTGGATGAAAATAATATTTTATAAGATGATGTGGATGAGTTGTTGGATGAAAATAATATTTTATTGGATGTTGTTGATGAGTTTTAGGGATGGAAATGGAGGAAATAGTATTTTTTGAGATTTTCAACTTTTCCATTTCTATTTCTTGGTTTTTCTTGGTTTTTAGGAAATAACCAAACAGGTCCTAACTCAAAAGGATATTATTATTATTATTATTATTATTTAAATAATATGATCTACCTATGTTAGTAGAGAAATGATAAAGACACACTCTCCACCACATCTCCAACCACACATCCCCTCCTGCTACAGTGCACCGGGGCCCACTTGAGATTTAAATTTTAAATCTCAAGTGGACCCCGGTGCACTGTAGCAAGAGGGGAGGTGTGGTGGAGAGTGTGCCTCTAGTGCCTCTCATGTTAGTAAGTAGCATCTTATACATTTTCTTACAGACGCAAGCCCAGCTACCCACCTCAGTTTAAAAAAAAAGAAAATGATAGGGACACACCCCAACCACATCCTAAACCATACCCTATTTCTCATATGCTACAGTATATCGGGCCATACATTGGATTTTAAAATTTTCCGATGTGGAGTCCAGTGTACTGTAGCATATAAGAGAGGGGGTGTGGTTTGGTGTGTGCCCCTAGTGTCATCCTTAAAAAAAATCTACCGTACGAAATGAGTAATGTTTTAGTTAAAAAATCACTTCTTTGTTTTTCAGAAAAACCAAGGCGTCAGTATGGAATCTAATGTTCAACATACTAAAATTTAGACAAGTATATACTTGATAAAGTTTAGGTACAAGAGAATAACAGATAGAGCTTAACTGAGTTTTCTATTGTAGTAATACCATGTGTTAGTAAGTAGCGCTTTTTTTTCAATGTGTCCAAACTTATAAGAGCATATTCAATGGTATTCCATTCTCTATAAATGGAGTATCATTGGCTCCAATGGTACAACGGTAGCACCCTCTATATTAAGAGAGTGTTACAGTGACTCTCTATATTTGAAGGGTTTGGGCTCATATAGAGGGATCCCTCTAAAATACTATTCATATATTTTAATTCCAATTTTACATTCCCATCTCATTTATAACTTTTCATAACTACCAATTGTATCCTTGAATATAATTAAACTAATTATTTAACTTAATATAATTTTAAATTTACTAGTCTATTTTAAATAAAAATTATATCATTGAAATTGTTTTGCCAAAACCTTCAAAATGAGACTAATATTTAATACTTTTAATATTAATTTCAAATTTATCATTATGAAATGTTAAAGTACGGAGAATTTAAAATACATCAAGCTTTAAAAAATTACATTATTCCATTACCATGTCTTTGTCATAAATGTTCAATGAGTGTGTTCTGAAGTTCAAAGTGAGCCTCCCGATCTTGGATTTTCCTATGTCGAGCGAGTAATCGTCTTAATCTTTCATCGTCATTGTCATCCATCTCGTCAGCATTTGAAGGTTGAGTTGAATCAGCATTATCTAGTTCTTCACGTTCATCCTCCACAATCATATTATGTAGTATTACACAAGCAGTCATGATGTCATTTAGCACTTGTTTATCCCAAAAACGTGCTAATCTTTTGATGATGACAAAGCGTATTTGAAGTACTCCAAATGCCCGCTCCACATCCTTTCTGTATTTCTGAATGTAGTTCCTTTGGGGGCGGGTTATATAGATCCCCACGTATTTATTTTATTAACGAATATTTTTATTTTATTATATTAAAATAAACTAATTTAAAAATGACTCTAAAAATATTCAATATTAATCTCATTTAAAATGTTCCGGCGAGACGGTTCTAAAGGTATAATTTTTGTACAAAAAATTATAAGTTTTAATTATTTTATTTACATCATTAGTTTGTTAATGATAGATTAATTCATATAAATATAGAGGGCACCATTGGAGCACAACTTTTACAAACCCTCTATATTTGAGGAATCTTGAAGAATATTCTCTTCAAACCCTCTAAATATAGAGTATACTATTGGAGATGCTCTAATGGATGTATTTTTAAAGAACATCTTTACTGTAAAACCCCCAGACGTTAACATTGTATTAACATCCCATCAAAAGTTCAAAACCTTATGATGGCTAAAAAGTTTATACTATGATATTTGTTCGACATAGAATAGATTTCATATATGTGGAATTTATGTCTATTAATGGGGAATTTTAGTCTTCCCCCTACTATGATTTTCACAAATTGAAAGCCAACCCACAATCAAGAATAAAGAAAACGATCACAATCAAGAAGAAAGAACACCGAGATTTACGTGGTTCAGTCGACCAACTTTGACCTACGTCTACGGGCAACAATACGAGAAATCCACTATGTATCAGAGAGAACTACAAGAAGAACCACTCAACCCTCGTCTCTCAATCTCTCAATCTCACATACATAATCAACTCTTATCTAAAGAAACCAAAATCCTATTTCTAACCTAACTTCCTAATCAGAATAAGATTCAAACTCATAATCATGATGAAACCCAATCTCCTAATCATGATAGATCTCTAATCATATCTAATTCTTATAAAGTTATACAAAAAATCAAAGACATAATCCCAACAATCTCCACCTTGAATTTGATTCTCAAACTCCCTTGAAGATATATCATTGTCGTCTTGAAACTTTGCCTCTCCCTCTAGAGTTTTCTATTCTTTTTCACACTTCAAATCAAAGCACTTGCACTCCTAATCAGAACACCTGCACTCCAACTGGATGCCCGTATGACCCTCACTTTCATCTGTCTCGCTATGGCGCCTCCACCTCTCTTGTGCACACCAAGAGATCTTCGCCACCTCTGACATTAGAAGTAAATTAACCATGTTTCTCCTCCCAAACTTGAGCCTGATAATAGGTTTCCCCCGCTTTGTTGCCCTTGTGATCCACCAGCATCGCTCGTCTCAAACTATATCAGTGCATCTTTTCTACTCCACACTATGAGTCGGATGCATCTATTTTCTCCATCACTTGGCTTAGACCGAATATAAGCGCTCATCATCTTCAACTCCAATGCCATCATCTCTATCAGTTCCTGCTTGCAAGCTTCACCTAATCTGGCACTATCCTTCTTGAGTCTATACACTAACCAACTCCTGCTCATGCGATAACTTTGAACAATTATATGCTGACAACTCTACTGCTAAAATCATATCTGATTCTCTAAACCAGTCTCATCCGTCGCATACTCATTTGTCCTATCTGTCATCAGTTTTTTCTTGTCATTGAATAGCGAAATACCAAACTTCGGACCTGAATAAGTCATCATCCTCTAACCACAATCAAAATTCAAATCAGTTACTATAGATATTGAATTTGATAAAAACCAACGTTAAAAATGAACTCAGCACGTTGAAAAACCCTAGGAACGACTCCTGGATCACCAAATCCGCCTCCAAATCCTCGAGCAAAAGACAAATCAATATTTTTTTTCTTTTTTTCTTTATCTTGATTTTTATAATGCCGCCGATCTTCACTTTTGTATGGCACCTATCTTGCGAACACGCTCCCGGATCCATCATCGTTGCTTTGATACCACTTGTTAGGAAAATTTAGTCTCCCCGCCTACTATGATTTTTACAACTTGGAAGCCAACTCACAAACAAGAATAAAGAAAATGACTACAATCAAGAAGAAAGAACACCGAGATTTACGTGGTTCAGTCGACCAACTTCGACCTACGTGTAGGCTGTCAAAAAATCACAATAGATAGTTGATCCCCATCAAAACACTGATGATAGAAGTTACAATCTGACGACTTTCAGAAGGTTACAATTTGAAAACTTTCACGTAGACTGATGAAGGTTATAATCTGACGACATTCACAACAACTGATGAAAGCTCTAATTCAACAGCCTTCACAATCAACATCGGGAGTTACAAATTGACGACTCTCATATTATCAAGAGCTAAATGTAAGGATTACAATCTGACGATCCTCACAAAAGTTCAAAAATAAAAAAAAAGATTATAATTGACAATCTCTTCAACGCGAAGGTCGCGTTTGACCATTTCAAATCCTTGAAACGGTCCTCCACTTAATAGGGCAACTAACCTCCATTATGGAGCTAATTAAGGGGGATAGTTATACCCCTTAAATTCCTACAAA